CCAAAGGATGATCAGTCCATTCAGGCACAAGTGAGGAAAGGGATGTGAGCACAACACAGCAATCCTCTCCGTGGATTTAACCACAGCCACAATTCATTATCCGATAATGGTTCCTAGGATCGATCCATACGCCCTCTATTCGACCGGTACATAATCAAGTCCACTTTTAAGGACTATAAAAATGAGGACGCCATGATCGTTTTAGTCACCATGGAAACATCTCAATACCGGTGCTCCAATTATTGAGTCTATAGTAAAATGTTTCACAAATGAAGCAATAAAACAAGTCAAGTGATCAAAATGATCCATATTCTGAATAAAAATATAAGTCGTAGTTCAAAAGGAAACAAAGTTCAATAACATTTGATAAGCATAAAGGAAATTCAAAACAAATTATTCGTAATTTCTCACAGATTATCCGGATTAGGAAGTCTTACGCAAATGGCTATCCCCGTGTCAAGTGAGATATGGAATCCGTACCTTAACTGAATTTGACAATTAACGCACGATCAAACGGAAATTCACGATCAAGTTTGATTTGCCCTCGTACCTAACGAATGCATAACCAGTTACTATTTACAAAGCATAAAAAAAACTGTAATAGGTCTTAATATACTTAAACAATGTAGACTTCAAGAAGGACAGCTGGATATGAATTGAAAACTCAAACGTAAAACTTAACATTATTCTCTTTCGATCCAACCGCTTCCGTCCCTCTTATTTTTAAGCATTTTTATCATACTTAGAGACCAATCCAGATTATATTTTCTAAATGAAAGTTGTATATTGGTATCATACGAGTCTATTGATTTTAAAATCATCTCATTTGGATCATCCATCTATTTTAAATGAATATTACAAAACTGCAATTTAATCCCGAATACAGTGTAAACAGCCCCAAAAATACACTGTTTCGAGCCACCTAGAGTCATAACTGGATTTTTGACCCTTCATGAAAGTTGTAGTATGCAGTAAGATCTTTCTGACTGCAAAATATAAGCTTAATCTGACTTACGGTTTGTAAGTTATACACTGTCAAAGTACAGGAGTTACATTGTCGGTAAAATTCGATTCCGTAATTCCCGACTAACTTTTATGATCCGAATTTCATGATTTGCTATATTTACATGCCATAAACGTACTTCAACATACTAAACAGTAAAACAAGTCCAATGGTCGTTAACCTAAGCTTAATCATGCATTTTTACTCCTTCCGACATTTAACCGAACAATTGGTGTACGGTTAAACATTTACCCACAATCTAACCATATTGAAACTATAATATACCCTTTTTATTTCTAC